ATACAGTATTCCAGGTTTCTATGGCTACATTATATGTATAATCAACATTTTTGCTTATGGGGTACGCCTTCATCGTCCAGTCTGTGGTTCGAATGTCAAGTTGTTGAGAAGCTTAGGGAAGCACATACAAAGATCAAGGCCCTTCACAAACAGCACAGTCAATACCGTTGTCTAAACTAAAGGAATGTATGAACTATTGCACTCTAACCATTGTAACATTTTAGCATATAACACTGTTTGGACTATAGTCCAATATTCTGTATCAACAAAGTTATAAATGTTAAGTGTTTTACTTAAGATGCAGTGCCATTCCCCATTATCGCTTATGGGTTAAAGCCCTTTTTTGTTTATTGCAAAAAATAGTTGCACAGTATAACTATAATATAACTATTGCATGTGCATGTATTGAGTATGTATTTATTTTTCCATGTAGTTTTCATAAAAAGGATATAAGATTCCGATGGCAAATGAGGCCTCAGGAAAGTCGAGCTAAGCTGTACTGCAAGAATCTCAAACTGAAGTGCTCCAGGACAACTGTCTATTGTACAAGATCCCCTAAATATATTATTTTTTCATTATTAGGAGCTTTTGAACCATATGGCACTAAGCTTGTATCGGTTTGTCAAGTAATTCTGGATGTTGAGTGCTGAGCTGATGCATATTCTTATTTTTGTTCTAAATCATGTGTAAATTGCTTACTTTAATAAAGCCCCTGTGTAACTAGTTGGAGTAAAAATTTCCAGTTTTCAGTTTTTTTATAGTTTAGTTTTTAGTGTTTACTTATATAATAACAATAATTCCTTACACTTATATAGCACTTTTCTGGACAATCCACTCAAAGTGCTTTACAGGTAATGGGGATCCCCCTCCTCCACCACCTATATGATGCGACGGCAGCCATAGTGTGTCAGAACGCTCACCACACATCAGCTATCAGTGAGGAGGAGAGCAGAGTAATGAAGCCAATTCATAGAGGGGGATTATTAGGAGACCATGATTGGTAAGGGCCAAGGGGAAATATGGCCAGGATGCCGGGGTAACACCCCTGTTTCTTTTCAAGAAATGCCCTGGGATTGTTAAGGACTACAGATGGTCAGAACCTCAGTTTTACATCTCACCCGAAGGACGGTGCCCTTTTATAGTATTGTATCCCCGTCACTATATTGGGGCATCAGGACCCACACAGACAAAACATGCAATGGATTTGGGCATTCCAGAACCACGGTTGGAGACCCCCCAAGTTTACAGAAGTCACATGCAGCAGGTCAAGTTATGATGGATAGCATGTCCAGAAATATTAGGGTGCCCTTGTCTCCGTTTGCTTTTGATTGTAGCCTGGGGTAGATGTGTTTCGGCCAGTCTGACTTGACAGGGCAACAGACCTGAGGTTTTGAACTGTATCCGTTGACAGCTGAGTAATGCACGTGGAAATGAATGAATCCTTCCCATGCTCTGTTTAAAAGAGCTTCTGAAATATTTATGACAAGGTCAGTAATTTTCAGGAGATAACTGATTAATGTTCCATTTAGTTCAGCAGAGGAGAGGGTGTGATTTATATCAGTATGCGTTAGTAAGCTGGAAGGATAAGGAAACATCAGAGGGCTGTGGGTAGTGGTAACTATCGGATAACTCCATTTTGTTTGCCCAGCCTGCCGTTCTATGGAAAGAAATAATCTTCATAATCAGTGTTTTCTCTTCACAGCAGTGCAGAAAGTTAGGTTAAAATGCACGGGAGGCACTTAATTGGCACTCTTGTTGAATTAGTTTGCATGTCGTTTGTTAGGTACGATAAGGAGAGTTGTCATTTTTGCTGTGTAGTTTTTTGTTTACTTTGGCTTCATTAGCTTTTCTGATAACCATCAACATTCGGCTCTTAAAGTAAGAGAAAAAGAATCAAAACGGGCCGAAGTTGAGAAGTTCAAGGCGCCACCCTTGCACTACAAATGGAGGAAATGTTTTAGTGCAGTTAGTGCCGTTGATGGTGTTTTGCTCAGGTGGTGACATCTTGTTACAGTCCGGGCAAATCAACATGGCGATATGTTTATGGTTTCAAAGGTTTCCCTTTGGCTCTTTAACCCCTTCTAAGGTGTCTAAACCAGCAGCAGAACAGAAGAAGCAGTCGTACTTGAATAAAAAAAAAACGGTTCATAAAGGCAGTGTAGCGGGCTTCCGGGTAGAGGTGCCTGCCCAAGCCCTGGCAGGTGGCTAGTGGCACAGGTTGTGAGGGGTGTTTGCGTTTTAGCTGGTTTAGCGGCTAGAGATTCACACTCCAGTCGAGCGATCTGGCTGTCGGATGTCAGACCTCCGAGCCCTGCAGTGGGTGTTCACGGTGATTAACCATTTTTGTAACTGGCCACTCCCCGGGCTTGAATGCAGAAGAGCTTTTGTTGTCCTCAGGTTTACCAGAACGGGTTTTGTTGGAAAGGAACAGTCCTTGCTTATGTC